TGGAAAGCAATCGGAGGTGAATGGGAGTGGCTTCGGGCTGGGCCAGACTTCGTGGCCGCGCTCTACGATTTTTTACCAGACAGGATAGGAGTTGTGGTCGACGGTCAGGGGAGAATGACGCGGAATTAAATTATTTTGCAAGTTTTACTGCGCCTCAGGACGCCCCGAACCGGACTTCTGCCGATTAGAACAAAGCTTGATGCTACGGTGGCGACACACTCTTTGACGCCGTTAACCACGCATACTTTTCTGGGGTGCCTCCTTCATCCCGATATTCTTGTACGATGCAGTTGAACTTCCACGCCGACTATTAATCGTTTGTGCCTGACATTGTCCTCTGCAAATATTTTTTCGATTAAGTTTCGATCTCCTTCTCCTGACAAATATATGACCGTTTGTCCCACCTTATTAAGACTAGGAATTTGTTAACAAAAAACTGGTGTCTTGTTTGTTTGAAACAAACATGTGGGCCCGGTAATAAAGAAATAATATTTTTGAAGCTTTTCATATCAATCAAGGTTACAAAACCTTCTAAGTAACAAGTATGCTTACTGGTTGTTTTTTTTTTGTTTTTTGTTTTTTTAATGTGTGATCAATGAAAAAGAAAAAAAATACCTTGTAGCCGGACTAATAAATCCGGCATACTGATTTTGGCCTATATTTTACGATGTCCTACTTCGTGCATGCACCTATAATCAAACAAAAACAACCTGCAACGTCGTTTTATGTGACCTTCAAAAACGATAATCGCAGCTGCAATTTAAGACACTTCAACAATTTTTTCTTCACCAGTCAGCGTTTTTTCTACGGGATTCTGCGCGATAGAGTAAAGTTAATCAAATCAAAAAGAGGGACGACAAGTGTAATCTTTTGTTCCCCCCGCCGCCCTACCACACATGCCCGCTGTCGCAGCCGCCGTCTCGCTTGCAGACAGCCGGAAGAGCGTACACTGTTAGCAAAAATAACACGCCCAGACGTGTAAACCGTTGTCCCATAGCGGACACGTCGAAACGTGTTCGTTTTACACGAGGCCATCTGTGTTTTTCGTCTACACATGAGGTGCTGTGTAAACTTAACACGCTACACCGTGTCTGCCTTCCGCAAAACCGTTTCGAGCGTGTTCCTTATGAAACATGGCGGCCAGCGGCCGAGAACAGGCGAGAGACGAGCCCAGCGAGCCGCGCGCCTTTCAGCCGAATTGAAAGCACACAGGGCGGGTTAGTTCTCGTTCGATGTCTTTTATACACAGTAGTGTCTTCAAGCGGCGGACGTAGCTACTTGCAAAGGTACGTACGTGTGTTGTCGGCGGTCGGCGGCGTCAATAGTTTCAACGAGCCGCTAGACAAAAAAAGAAAAAAAAACGAATGCCGAACTCACATCGATAAATAACTTGAGCAAACTATTTAGAATCGGGCAATAACTTGCGCCACCTATCGAGATTTCTAGCAGCCTGTTTTTAAAAAGAAGACGAGTCTGTTAACACTGGGAACGACCACGGCCACACAGCAACCCTACATACAACGCAGGCAACACAGCACACAGCTACACGGCACCGACATATACACAAACACAACAACCGACACAACGCCCGACACTTCCTACTCGATATCCATTTCTCCTCGCGGCGCATATAAGCTTGACATGTGCGGGTGAGCTCCCTGGTCACTGACCATTAGAGATTTATAGAAGAATACACAAAACACGGCGCAATGGACAGCCGTGTGTTAGAACTGTTTGCATTTAAAAAGTATGGAGGCAAAATCTATAATGCTAGTCCGTTGCAATAAATAATGATATGTTAACAATAAATCTTAAACCGGCCATGAAAAAGTTCCAATTTTTGTTATTTTTTTGCTTGACCAGTGTTATGAGCAGTCCGACTAGCATGAATCAGATAGAAAAACAAATTATTGGGATTTTGTCATTACGTAAACAATAATAAATGAAAATGATCCTTGCGCAAAGCATTTTTTATATATTTTTTGTGAAGGACATCGGGACATCCGCCCAACACTTCACTTCCGCTAGTTGCAGCAGTTGCAGTACGGGAGCAGACGCCTTCACTTTTGGGGCGTTTTGATGCAGTTTGTTGTCGTATGTCGTGTCGGTGTCGAGAAGAGCGGTGGGGCTTGGGAGTTTGTGACCGGTGTTATTGGTGAACACTGGTGTGGGGCGGTAATGCGTCTTTTTTTTATACTGCCACCACCCCGAACTTTGAAGATACACGGGCCCGTAGCAGTGTATTGTGCTGAATCGCGAGCTCCTTCTCTGTTGACGTCGCTTTCCTGGTACCACTCGTGGATACTGCAAGCGTTTAAACAGTGTGCACCGTCTCGCCTACATCCCCGGTGACGTACTCGACCTGTTGAAACTTATTGCTTCCGTCATTTTAGAGTACGCAAGGCAGTTATCTCGTTGTTTTGGTTTCGGTTATAAAAGCAAGGTAAAACGCTCGTAGTTCCCGCCCTCAGTACACGTTGGACATCTTCAACACTTTGACACCGGATAACTGAATGAACGAGGATTTACATTCACTTCCGAGGTTACTCTCGCCGCTTCCTCACCGTTGAGCAGCAGGATGAGCTGGCGACAAGCCGCGGATGAAAGGCTGGAGCATCAACAGCCCAAGCGCACTCGGTGCCGATGCGGGCGACGCGGGTTTCTGTCAACCGGGAGGCCAGCACAAACCGTGACCATTCCAGCTCTTCGTCATGACACGGTGTTGCAGAGAGCAGGGTAAAATACAGCTACACGGATCGCCGAAGCAAACGACTGCTATCTTAAATCTTGGCTTGTGATTGCGCCTTTGTAGTAGATCATCTTATTCGTTTTGCTGGAGAGACGCAAACGACGGGCGTAACAAAATCGCTTGCATATTCCGCATATCTCACAAAAGCATTTACCCTGTCACCTTGCGAAAAGCGCGAAACACGGAGTCTGCACTTTCCTAAGCTTCCCGTTTTTTACCTGCTTTAGAGCAGTTTGTACCTGCTAGTAGATATGCCTACTGAAACTGAAACAGGGCAGTGCCAGAGAGAAAGAGACAAAGTTGAGAAAGCTTGCTCGCTCTCTAATTTCTCAACTCTCAAGTGATTGTACCATAATAAATGCACCAACGCGTCTTCCAAAATAAAGAAAGAGCACTACGTTCACAACATAAAAAATTGTCTCAGTACATGCATCTGTGGGCAGGTAGGAAACCTTGCCCTTATTTATTCACGCCGCATGATTGCCGCAACAAACTCGTTGCAGGACCGAATCATACTCGAGCGGTGTGCGTCGCTATGCAAACGCAGTCCAAGACGAAGCATAAAAAACGGCAGATTTAAGACAACAATCCGGAGTCCATTATTCAATTAAAACAACGTAATTTTGTTGAAAACGCCCGCTGCTTCTTACTCACGGTATGTGTCGGGATACTTCCACAGTTCGAAACGGAACGAGGGAAGATTTACTTTTAAAAACGCTCGCTGCGTCCTCCCGGACCAGCTGGACCGGATCAGCTGACGACGACGGGACTGTACCCGTTGAACCTCCACCACGCAACAAACAATTTGCGCTCCGTGTTAAAAGTGTGGTTCAAACAGACCCGGAATGCAAAGCACCGCACTACACACGACGAATGTTTCAGCTCTTTTTCGCATCGCCGGGTTGCACCAAACAGAACGAGATCGCCGAAGTCAACGCCGCGCTGTCGTGAACCTTGGCTTCTGGTTGCGAACTCGTGGACCCTGTGACTCCCTTCGCTTTCAAAGCACACACGACGATTACGAGTGCTACTTTCCGTCTGCCAGGAACATCACAGGGGCACTTCTCCGGTCACGTCTTCACTATGTGCTCGCAAACTCCGAAGCTCTATGCGAAGCTTCTCGCGTCCCGTCAAACCAAAACAGTAGCGACGCCATGCGTACTTGCCGGATTTTCTCCGGTCAAACAAACACAACGAAAGCCAACCGGCGCTTGCTTCCAGCGTACATCGGCGTTGCGCTTGCGCCGTGGCCAGATCGCCAGATCGCTTGCAGTTGAAGGTTGAAGCAAAAACGAAACCAACTGCAATGTCACGTGTTCACATCGAGGACACGCTTTTTATATCCATTTTAACTGTTTGGAACGAATAATTAGACCCATAACTTTATTTGTGGTGTCTAAGAAACTGTTATCAGGACCCCTAAACTAAATACAAACATGGGCGACATGAAGCGAGCCGCATTGCCATCGACCAGAAGATGGCGGCGAGCCCGGTAAGCGTGGGTTTCGCCAACGTCCTGCGACATGGTGCAATTGCTTTTTGTGCATATCTGTCTCCGAGAAATGTTTCTTTCCGCGGCATTGGTCTCGACGGTCCTTTCTAAGTGTGTCCCCAAGCATTCCGGTGCTTCGATAGCCGGCAATGCCGCGGTCGTCGCCGGGGGCGATGCGTGTTTTCGAGGTCGGCTACACGGTTATGCGTGTATGACCGAACCAAAACACGTTTTTTACAACCTCGCATGATTTCTGAACGAATTATCCGTTACTCATCGTGTAAATTTATGGTAATTTGTGTAAATGGCGTGTTTTTCACCCCAAATATTCGCCAAATACACGGGACTTGCTAACAGTGTAGTGGCGCAGCGAGCGCAAGTGAGAATTTATCTTGGACTCAGGGTGTGCCATGTGTGCGGAGCAAGGCGACAGGCGGCGCAGGTAGTACCGTGCGCCGGCCGGAGCGGTGTTTCAGCTCATATTGTCCGCGATAGTACACGTAGATTTTTATTAGGAACAGGAATTCAGTAAATGCTGCTCTCTTCTGTCAAAAAAAATATTCTAGTTTATATTCGTGACAAGAGACGAAATATTAGGCAGCGTTGGCCATTCCTACGCGCAGCGTGTCAGCGATAAGTCAGAGGCCGCGCGCAGCGCCATCTCTCGCTATCACCGCAACTCTGTGCCACCTATAGCTCCCTCTTGTCACACCTCCCATTCTAAGCACCCAACCAAAGTCCACGGTGGACGAGTGCGCAGTAAGTACACCTTCGCAGTAGCTACACTCCCAATACGTGTACCTAGAGGACAACAAATTATGTCGACTGCACGCCGCGCTTATCGGGAGATGATGCCTCAAGTTACAAACATCGCCATGTGTGTTGTCCGCGAACGTCTGCGAACATTTATGGCCATACACTTTGGCAGGTTGGTCGGCATCATTCACTACAGGATGTGAACTACGCCTCGAAATTTCACGATGTAAAATACACCACTTTAGTGCACATTCGGTGAAAGTTTGAACTATCCCTGTGCGGGTGGCTATTTTTCCGGACCGTTTTCCTGCCTCAGATCAATTTTGGCCATCTTATACATCTCTCGTTTAGTGGATTCGCGGAAGCTTAATTGACTGAAACGCCGATGATGACTTATACTTCTGCAACCATCGATTAGCGTACGTTTTTGACGTCACGTACAAGCCTCGATATCAATATCTGCTGCTCATCGGGTTGTTTGTCATCCCTCGGCGTTCGCCCTCCTGTTGCACCGAAATTGTTTCTGCTTCAACCCATTCCGACAGCACTTGACTGCTAGAGCTACGTAGCTACCTGCTTGGCAAAAAGCGATTTTTGCCTTATACTCCTGCAGGTAAGATTTTCTCCTCTCCTATTAAGTGGTCGTTATAATGTTAAGCGGCGGCATATCTCAGCTTTGCGCCATTTATCTCAAAGCGTGTTCCGAAAAGTATTGGTATATCGTGGTTCTTTTATAATCGCGTGTAGAGAAAGGAGGGCGGCAAACAACCTACCTTCCAGCCGCTATCGCGCCTGTCTTGGAGCAATGGCTTCGAAGATAAGAGAAGCTATATTCCTCGGAGTCAGCAATACTTTGTGCTGAGTCGAGTCGCATTCATTTCCACGTATAGGTTGCTACTGGCATTCTCTTGCCGAGGGAAAAACAGAGGTAAGCTTCATTGCCAAAAATTCGCGTTTTATACATATATATATATATATTTTTTTAGCACGCAGCTTGCTTAAATGTTTCTTGTCTCGTTATTCGAAAGCTTAAGAGCAACCCTGGCAAGCAAACCGTAGTTTCATGATTCTTCATAAATAAAGCCGGTCCAGATATAAATCATAGCGCTAAATCAAGGGCTCAAACAGCTTTGATGCTGCGCTGACTCGAACCCAACTTCGTCGTGATGCTGCGATGTGTCAGCGCTGTGGCACTACTATAGCGCGAAGACAGCACTGCCTCAGCAAGGTCAGTCCTACTTGCCCCGCTGACAAGTAGCGTCGTGGAGTACATGTGAGCAACCCGTCAGGATGTCAGTGTAAATTAGGTCATAATATATTTTTTACCTCGTTTTCAGAAGATAGCCTTGTCAAAGCACCGCGGCGCTTTTGGCCCACATGACGCGTCGGTATGCATCGAGAACCTTGCCTTTCAAATTCCTGTGTCGTCACCGCCCTCAAGCAGTGACCAGTGTGGTAGTCTGGCATGGTACACTTGTAACGCAGGAAATTAAGGTAAACTGGTGAAAAGAAAAAAAAGTTGGAAACCAGTGACCTCCAAAAATCCTTTTTCGACGAAAGCTTAGGGCATTGAATTAAGTATTTAGCACATATATCTTCATAAATTGCATTGGGTCGCCTCAAAACTGTGCATTTATAAACTGGGATGCTATGTTCCTTTGCTAAGGTGAATGTCACGAGACATCCAAGGGTATTTATACCAAAATCCTCGTAATTAAGAATGGTGGCCAATCAAGATATTTTGCCAAACGTTATCTTCAACTGGACTTCAGGCGAAATGAATGCAAACTGTTGTATGATGGCGACAGGTAAATTGTTGAAAAGTAGTAAGTTTAGTCAGTGGAAGGTGCAGTCGGGATTTTGCTTCAAGGTCATGCACAATCAATGGAAGAAAATGGAGGAGGTTTTCTTGCCTCCAAGACTGAATGGCACTTTGCGTGCCGCTTGCCATCTTGGTAATTAAGAGCAGGCCTACGAGGGGTGTCTCTAGAGCATCGCAAAGCTCAGTTCCTTCTTAAGGTGGATACTGACGTCACTAAGTAGGACGTGGGTTACAGGCTCACCAAAAACTGTTTTCGGATCTGCTTTAACAACTATTTGGGGGAAATATTAGTCACTTCGGTAGAAATGTTATTGCCTCTTGTTTCGAGTGACTGGCATCACGCATGGCCAGCTGCAAACAAAAAGATTCGGTTCGCCATTCTTATCGGCTAAGATAATTAAAGGACACCTATGATCCGCGTAACTTCAAGTGTGACCGCAGCCAGGGCCATACAATTGGATGAAGAGGCCATTCAAGAAGCACCCAAAAGTGCATCGTCACAGCCCTCATTGCTTTTGCATGTTAGCTATTGCTGACTAAACAAATGGGTGGGACGGATGGGTGGATAGATGTTAATATCTATACCCTTTGCTAAGGGCGGTAGCTTGGGCCAGCTAGCCTAAGTATAAAACGACAAACATAAAATTACCCCTGCCCTTCTAAACCAAACCACGCCGTGATTTCTTTTTTTTTTTGTGTTTGATTGGTTTATTTGGTGATCGCGAGCTCACAAAGATAACGAGCGTTGTGACGAGAGAATTTTGGTGTTGCTTCATTGGCCCGATCAGATCGTATCGTTGTCTGTTGTTATTAAAGTAAAACAGATACTCTCAATGGTGGTGGGGAGTTTAACAGCGTAACTTTTAAACGTGCTGATTGAAAAAAAGAAACAAATACTTCCTGCCTTGTGTCGACCTTCGAAGAAGTGAAGCAAAGATAAATAAGTGGGTTATTAGTTGAATATAAACCCGGAGAACACCTCACATACGCCAGAGAGCCGTTATCTTCGTTTATTTGAGATTAGCTTGCTCAAAGAGGAAAACATTCCCTTCCGCGATAAGGCAGCAGCAGACGGACCTATAAGCTCTAAATGATGTTTGAGTGCCTACTTCCGTACAAAGGGCCGTTCAGCGTATCACCCCAATCTACTGAGCGGCGAATCTGGCAAATGAGAGATTTAGTTAGTCTACCGTGTGCTCTCCGGAAGTGCAATCGAAGGTGTATTTTAGAGCGTATACTCTGTGAACGAGATTACATCGACTGCTTCTTGAAGGTGAAGAGCATTACTCTGGAAATGAGCGCCGTGAAAATTGGGGCAAGAAGGCAATGGGCGATTATCGTAAATTAAGTTGTGACAGGCGACATTAGTCTGAGCCAGCTCATTTCCTCAGTGAAAACAGAGGGCCAACTGTCGTAAAGAGCGGAGCCCACCGAGCGAATGATGCGGGTCATGAAAGAGTAGGGAGTTTTCGTAGCCCGCGTCTCCCCCTCCGCTAAGCCTTCCGCAAAGAAGAAGGCGCTACTGCACCTGCGCGCCAATAGGCTTGACTGTAGAGTTCCGGGTACCGTAGCGGGTTGCGGAGAGCGTTACGGGACGGCGAAAACCATCTGCGAAAACTCCCTAATGTCACAATACGACGGCAAGGCTGCGAAGGGCAGCATACGCGTCTGCGCCAGACCGTTTTGTTTTAGGCTCATCTGGCGCTGAAAGGGATATCCCGAAGGCAGCTAATAAACCAAATATTAAACCAGATTTCATTGTTGTTGTTACCGGTGGCGGAAGAAAATAAAATAATTGTACGAGTGTCTTTGATACTGCATATTGTAAGCGTCAAATACCATGGCAGCGTTACAAAGCTCTTCCTTTAAACTGAAAAGGTGAAGAAACAAATTAGACATGAGGGGTGGGAATAAAAAAAAAGTGAAAGCCGTTTACAACTCCCTGTAACACCGAATTAGAGCGCAGCTCTTGAGGAGGAGGAGGGAAGGGTACTGGGGGGGGTTGAAGTAACCTGGGGGGTCACGTGACGATGCCGATGATGCCATCAGTGACGCCACTGATGACGTCGTCAGTGACGATGACGATGACGATGCGGATGCCGGTGAGGTCATCAGTGACGTCACTGATGACGTCATCAGTGATGATGACGATGACGATGCGGATGCCGGTGACGTCATCAGTGACGATGACGTCATCGGGGAGGTCACGTGACCTCGGCGGGGGGGTCACGTGACCCTGGGGTGGTCACGTGACCCTGGGGGTGGTCACGTGACCCTGGGGGTGGTCACGTGACCTCGGGGGTGTCACGTGACTTCAGGGGGGGGCACGTGACCTCGCGGGTCACGTGACCTTGGGGTGACCTTGGTTACGCCGACGGCGACGCCGACGCCGACGCCGCTCAAGCCGGGAACGGGCACCTAAGAGCTGCGCTCTAAAATCGTTCTACTTCAAGATCGGGATAACGTTCCAGATAAGTAATATCTAGATTACAGGCCAACTCCAATTCATTCTCGATTGTTAGAAAACAATGCCACTTTCTTCAGTGTCATTTAGAGAGACCGCGTATCAAATATTACAGGATAATACCACTTAACTATCATTACACCAGCCAACAAAGACTGAGTCGAATTGTTCGTCATAAAATTGTAAACAACAAGCCTGAGCGTTTGATCTGGCTTCGAGATAAACTCTCAATGTGCAGATAATGAATTATTTTATAATGAAATGTAAAATTATTACTTGCTCTGATTCTGTTTTTTTCTTTTTTTACCTTAATATAGATTCGCGCTGGCGTGCAGCTCCGCTAAGACGTACTGACCAGGTGTACCCGCACACAAATAAAATGTTCAGACGCCTCTGTTTTTTTTTTTAAATGACTTCTTGCGCCACTCAAGCTTCATGTGGTGAAAGGGAAAAATAGAAGAAGCCGAAGACCTTGTCGTAAAAGATGCATTTTACGCTCTGGCACTAAGAATGGCATCAACATGCGAAATAAACAATCACTATAACACTGCTGACTCTCTTTCTTTATGAAGAGACGTTCTAGGTTTTGTCATTTTGGTGAACTCACTCATTAGCCCGCAGTGGCTAGCTGTCCAACTGAACTGAGCGTAATTAGAGCCACGGGTCTTTGTTTGAGGTGGAAGATGCCTGTAAGAAAATGCGCAATCTACTGCCTCACTATTCCAACCCTTTAGATGGGAATGAGTATAAAACTTCTTAGCCATTCGACGAAATAAGCGTTTTGTAAGTGATATGTATTTCTTTTGTTTTAGGCATGTCTTTGAAGCAATTTCCAGTGTACCAAGACATTGACGGAGTTCCGTACCCTTGGGCGTACAAGGCTGACCGTGTTCGAGAAGCGCTCAACTACATGCCGCATGATGGGGACATTGTCCTGGTCTCGCACCTAAAATGCGGCAACAATTGGCTCGAACAGATCATGCAACTCATTCTTTACAGGTAAGAGTAGTCACCAAGTTTGATGGACAACTATTTTACTCTTAAAGAGACGCTGCAGTTTAAAAAGTTTTTTTTAACAACCCGAATGCGTATCTGACAAAATTAGTTGCCAGGATGAAAAGTAAATGACCGCATTATGCACGCTGCGAGACGTAAATTGCATGGCAACAGCAAGCATTCGCTGCATATAACGGAAGGTTCCATGCAGCGAGTGAGCCGCTCCGTTGGCAGTCAAGTGTACAAAGGAAGAGTACCCTGGTTAGGATTCCCTCCTCCGCTCTTCTTTCAGCGAATGGGAGAATAAAAAAATACTGTGCGTTGATGTTGCCTCCAACATCAAGTTCCTTTTTGAGCCGGCGCGCGCGAGCAGATGAAATATCCCCGGGCTTCACATGCGTTTCGAAGAGTTAATATTTCAGTAAGTATATTTTTTCCCGGCAATTCAGGTAACCTCGTCATTCCCTGCCAACAAGAATTCAACACTTCTTGACAACGCCATAAAAACAGCTCCTTTCATATTCGAGCGATCACCACGACATCCGCTTGTTGAAGATCGTGTTCGTATTTCTTCACTTGGAGGGGCCTACAGAAAAAAAGAAGCCGTTCATTACGGTGTAATTATAATTTCCAGCAGCCGTGTTTGATCAATTTTCGCCCGACGGGACCTCGCCCGTAGTGCATGGGCTCTAAAAATAGGGGAGAGGAAGAACGCAGCTATACACCAACTCATGTTTACAAACAAACCGGAGCGCCCCTAGCGGACGCCACCGGCGCCGCGCATGCGCGATGGAGTGTGAGCAAGAAACTCGCCGTCTCCCGTAAAAAAAAAAAAAAAACATTCAAGTGCGATGTTGTCGGCATCGGTGTGAGTTCCCCTGCCCTTTTTCGCGTTCGAATTGTTGATTCTACGTCTTCCTGGCAACGTCTGACTACTTCAGCGGCCTCACCGAAATTACCCAGGCTTGTTACACCGCAAAACTTCGCGTGAATAATGTGACATGCGGTGGTTCATTCCGCGTGGACGCCGTAGAATGGACGCTAAAGCCTGATTCGCAAGATGAGATTTCGCTCTCAAATTTCAGTCGCGACGTCACTCGGGCTGCAAAAGCGTGAACTGTAGCTGAGATGGTCGACGTCGATACTGAAAATCGCAAGCAGAATCGGACGGACCAAGTGAATCAAGCATAACAAGTCGGTGATGGCCACTGGTAACAATGATCAACATCTCCTTACTTCTACTGTTTACATCGAGCCTGCTTACAAACCTTAAAACTTAAGCGTTTTGAGGCCTGCCTGCAGACGATAAGCAGGAACGTTTGAAAGAGCAGACTACAGTTCGAACGATCAGACGGCCGTTTGAACTTGAAGACGCACTAAACGTAGTCCGTAGGTGGTCCGTACAACTTGACGGTGTTCCGGCGTTCATGTTGGACAAAAGAAATAAATCTGATGACTACAAGTATCCCTGAATTCAACCCGAAGTGCTTCCCGCCCAAGCAATCGTGGTCCCACGGCGTCTGATTTTCCCTTTTCACGGCACATATCCCGTTCTCGGAAGAACCGAGCACATGAAAACTGACCTACAAACTTTTCTCGACTTTTTTGTCACAGCCTCAGTCGTGTCGTTTTAAAGAGAATGCAGGTTTTCGTCTGGTTCCTTTCAAAACAACGCACGAATACACGTCTCAAATGGGGACATCCACCCACAGCCCCAAACCGGAAGTGCGCCCGACGCGCCACCACCACGCCGTGACGTAACAGAATTGAGTTCGTGTACACCTAGCAAGAAACAAGCTTTCGACGTATTTTAAATTCTCAGTAGTTTTGTCGGTGCAGTATGCTCTTTCTGCTCAAACATTCCAGAACCTTTTAGAAATATAGTCTGGACGTCGAGCAGTATTTAGTACCGCAACATATTTATGAGCAATATTGTGTAACATGCGATGGGTTTTAACTTTACAAATATGTCGGCCGGTCATGATCGTTGAGTCTGATAATCGCGTAATGTTGAGTTAATCTATCTTGAGCATCGCTGTAGTTCAGGACTGATTACTGGTGATTAAGTGAAGTTACTTATAATTTATAAAACTCCCTGAGAATCCGGAGGCCGCGCAGACCACGGAGTAAGGAAACTGCACTTTAGTGATTGCATTAATTAATAGATTCAAATTCAAAAAAAGGAAGTCTCAGTTGAATTTCACGGAGCTATAGTTATAGCTCTAATGAAAGGTTTCGCTTTTTTATTTTTAAGTAAGGAGTGTCGCTGTCTTAATTTAAGTGACTCTTCCTGGCCCCCAACAATCTGAATGTTGCTTCACTGCTCTTTGATATGTTGTCATAGTTTGGTGCCAACCTCATCAGTTGTAAGCCAAACGTAACTACAATGAATGCGTTATTTCTTGTAGGGGTCAACATGCCAAAGATATGACGGAGTACCACAAAAGAACGCCATACATCGAGATGATAGGCACTGATGCGGTGAACAACATGCGCCCTCCTCGCTTCTTCAAGACACATTTCTCTTACGACAGACAGCCTATAAATCCCAAGGCGAAGTACGTGTACTTGACGAGGAACCCCCTTGACGTTTGCGTTTCCTTCTATCACTACACTCGCACCATACCGGCGTATGGTTTCGAAGATGGAACGTTTGATGATTTCTTCGAGCTCTTTGTGACAGGCAAGAACGACCGCGGAGACTTTTTCGACCACGTCATGTCCTGGTACTCCCACAAGGATTGCACCAACGTCTTCTTCGTTACTTACGAAGAACTCAAGAGGACCTTCAGAGAAACTGTACTGAGACTGGCCCATTTTCTCGGAGACGAGTATGCCAAGCCGCTGGAGTCTGACGAAGAGCTCTTCCACAAGGTTGTCGAACAGAGCAGCCTCTCGTCTACGTCCCAGCTCCTGAACTTTACAGAAAAAACGGTAAAGCAGTTGTTAAATAATGGGGATGAGAATCTTTTAGAGTGTTTGAAAAGGTTCGTGTGTGATGACTCTGGCAAGCTCAAGTCCGAAAGTCCGCTTGTCCGCAAGGGAATTGTCGGCGATTGGAAAACGCTCTTCAAGGAAGAACATCTCGATCGCATGCGTCGTAGGATCCGGGAGAAAAAGATGGAACCTGTAATCAAAGCTCTGTGGGGAGCTGAAGACTTGGGAGGCATCGTTTAGTTTTTTTCACACACACAAAAAAAAAAAAAAAACTAGACCATTTGGGAAAATCCCGAGAAGTCCACGCGCGAAGTCCTGTTCACCCCTCCTTGCGCTTGCGGAATCTATGGCGTGCCACTGAAGAGACAGCGAACGGCTAACGTAGTTGCCCGCCTTCCCTCGTCTTCCAGTTTGCATGTCGTCTGTCGGATCGGTTGTCTTCTAACTCCGGTCTTGAACAAGGCGTTCCCCGGATTCGTTATGGCGCCGCGGATTGCGCTTCACGTTTGCAACAGGTCTACTGGATGCTTTGAAATCGCTCATTGGGAGTAGACACAGCAATCAATGCATACAAGGGATCTTAAAATGTGGCTTCACCAACTTAATTTTGTAACAGTGTTAGTCTATTTAGTTGTGTGAGTCACCACGTTTTTGCTGTGCTAAATCATTCTATCAATGCTGAGCATCCGTGAGGCCGTTCTCTTGAGTAGGCACTGCACCGTGAAAACTTAACGTATTTTTTTGTGAATTGTGGATTCAATTCTAGGGAGGTTTTGTATTTCTGTTTTGGGGGTTTGTCTAATTGTGTCTAGTACATACATGTTCTGGCTGATGTTAATTATCAATAAAGCATTAAACCTTTTATATGTGCATGTCCATTATATAAATTAGTAATTAGTGATTGCGTCATTGAAGCCTTTTCTTTTAACTGTACCGGTGCCACACATTATTTCAATTAAAAACTACCCAATTTGACAGCCTTGTATGACTAACCGTGCTGACAATTTTTGTTCTTTCTTATATACGTACAGCCTATGAAAACTCATAAGAATTTCGTATACTAACTACTCGTTATTAACAAACGCAATCTTACTGCTCTTTAGCATATGTCCACATTTCACCAGAAACTTCTTGGGTCAAACATCTACCCTTAATCTGAGGTAGTCAGCGATGCTTTTCCAGATTCACCAACCGTCTTCCATAGAGTTTTCGGTACTCACAAAATTCTGAAATAATGACGAATACCATGTCAGTTGAGATCTAGGATGAACTGAAAAAACGGGTGGATGATTTGGACTGGGAGCTGATCCGTTGTCCTTAAATTTAGGTGGTGCTTAATATATATATATATATATTATACGTTAATCCCCCAAGAGCATTGCTCTTTGGGACAGGATTAGATTTTTGCCTTGACATTCCGGGCCTTCAGAGCCAATAAATAAACAAGGTCAAGCCAAACCTATTATGCTTTGGCAAGAGTATAAGTATCTTGACCCAGAATTGCCAAAACAATTGCAAGAATTAGGCATGCTTGGTATTACAGATGTCTCCTGGCTTCTTCGGTCCTCAGTTCCCGAAAAATTGCCAGAATTAGCTTCACTTTTGGTTGTTCAGTTTCATTGGTAGAATTGGTAGAATTAGGCTGCTACACTGCGGGTTACTCGGTTGATATGTCACATTTTTTACTCATGCCTGGCCCTTTGTCAATTATGCAGCGAACCAAAAAAAAAGCCATAGAAAATATCAAACAGAAGCACTTCAGTACTAATGAACGCCTTGGAGCGAAACATTATTAGGCTCAAGCTAAATTCCTAGGGTAGCCAAACTTGGGTCAAGTTAGGTGTTTTCTCAGCTGCTGCCTGGAAAGGCACTCGGTTTGATTAGGTCTGAAAAAATGAACTATAACAACCGTTTTCTCGGTCGCTCTGAAGCAAAAGCCTTAGGTAGAATGGCATGGTTACTCTTGCTGACGTTCGTAATATTATGAGCTCATTACCACTCATTCAAGCGGAATGAGCTTACCTTAGCAATTATAAAATATACTTGTAACGTGTAAAGAGCCCTTATGACCTGGTGCCCAAGTCGTCTTGTGGCCCACACCACCTACTGCATGAACTAAACCTGGAAACAGCCCTCTCTACCTCCATGGGCCTCATCGCGCACACTGTAGTCACTGACAGATCAAGAAACGCCGAGGGTGGTATGTCCCGAGCATCTCATTCTCCCTTTCCAGCAAATGACATTGCGGCAGTAGCCGATAAGAACGCTGAGGAGCCAATCACGAAATGAGGGGCGTGAATGTAACAATTGCCGTGCCCTGCCTTTGCTACGCAGTCAGTGACTCTAGGATGGCGCCAACTCAGCAGTTGTGTTCGAGTCTATCGCCGAGCGGCCTTCATGGCACGCACGGAACGCAGACCTTAGCCGAACCATGATACACCGCATTTGTTCAATTTGTGTCTCTTCTCAATCCTATTGTAATTGAATCATAAATCTAATAAACAGGCTTCGATTATTCTAGGTGTTGTTGGCATCGCCGGCACACCAATACCTCTGCGTACTTGTCAGACGGGCGCCTTAAAGGAGTTCCGAATAAACTCATTTAAAGAATCGGCAAATCAGCTCGCGATCTTGCGCTCATCGGCGTGCGCTGATTCGCCTATTCTTTGAGGGGGTTCATTCGGAACTCTTTTAAAAGCCCCCGTCATTTAGCTGTTCATTATGATTATAGAAAGGATATTGATTATGCCTCAACAGATGGTCGACCAAATATACTTCATGGACCCTAACACGGAGCAGAGATTATATTCTGAGGCCGGAATGGAATGGCACATACAGGGAGGACCAAAATTTGTTCGCCATCGACTCACGTACTGAACTTTCGAGTTGACTCATGCTCTAGTATAGAGCTTTATTTTCACAATATTAGTAGTATTCTTTTGTTCTTGTTTTCCTTCTTTCCTTCAATCTCTTTCACTACGGCTAGCACCTTCGCTTGCTTCATGAAGTAGCGAATCTCGGTTCTAAAATTTGTTATGCCTTCTTACATGTACAACGTTCTTCATTCGCTTAAATTCCATTATAACCATACCCCGTACTCCGAGAACATTGCCCTATGTCTGTCCGACCAAATATGAAACTGTGGCATGTGCCACAGTAGGAAAGGAAACTTTAGTTCGAAGAGATTGAGTGTTACGAGTGTTATGATTTAACCTAAATGAAGAGGAATTCTTACGCCGCTAGTGCGATTTCAGTATGTAGTTAATGCTACCTACAGCCGGTCGCAGGTAGCTTGTCTTTTTTTCTCTTTTGAGCAAACGATCGCAGCTCAAGCGACTTTATTACCCCCCTATATCCTGTGTAAAAGGTGTAGCAAACGGTGAAAACAAATTGCAAACAAGCACACAAAACGAGCGACTTTTGACAGCGGCAGTTTTTACCTTCTTAAAAACTTCACTTAAGGATATTTGTTTTTCGTCGATGGCCTCTAAAATGTTTGCTTTAGATGGTTTGCTTTTTGTCGACCAGTTGTAGGCGATGTGCTTCGGCAGTTAACTGAAGGGTGCCTGTTGTTCGTGATAGGCGGAGTCCTGAGCCCTGTGACGTTCTCCTGCCGTTGTCGCCCTCCGTCTACTCTACTCGACGTGGCGCGCTTGCCTGGCCTGTCACTCCCGCTCCTCGAACTCGGGGATGCGATAAATGGACGAATGGCTCTGTCTGGGAGGGGTGCGAGAACTGAGCAAGAACTGCGTCTATGCGACATAAGCTGCGGAATCTTCCAGAATCCCAAAGCGGCTATGGCGGCAGGGGGAGGGGGGAGGGGGGGGGGGGGGGGGAGAGAGAGAGATAGGGAGCGTTTACTCGATGCGCGGCTACTCTTTTCGCTACAATAACATCTGTTTTCGCGTACGAGCATCACCGGATCTTGACCGAAAGAAAGAACAACCAGCTACCACTGTTTAAAATAAAAACATATAGGTAAGAAGTTTATCATCTTTATCTTTGCTCTTGGTTCAGATATGTCCGTCAGACGCCTTTCAGCCCCGTACAAAATTGGCGGCATCAAGTTTTCAGTGGGTCCTATACAATCTTGTGCGCAACAAAGACGAGGACAAAAGCAGAGAAGAGGACACAACAAGGCGCAACTTTCAACTGAATTTTATTGAAAACGTGTTCCGGTATATATAGTCTCAGCAATCGTTACAATGACAACAAAGACAAAAGTAAAGGAAAAAACACCATGACAGAGCATAACTGGGAAACAACACTATCTCGTTCTCAGGAAAAACAATTCCTTCTCCGATAATGCAATCCACGGCATAGCAACACACATGTCTCCTAAATAATCAATCTGCTCGGCTTCTATGATTTTGCGTGTTACCGTTGACTTGCATTTCCCAATTTTTACGCATTCATCCAACAGTGGGGTACAACCGCATGTCCTGCAATGCAAGTCAAGAAAGCCACCGTTCTTTTTTTGCACGTTGTTATTGTGCTCGCGAAGCCGATCATTTAGGCAGCGCCCCGTCTGCCCGACGTAGTGGCTGCCACAGGACAACGGAATGCGGGGTTCAGTGCCGAGGATGTACGAGAAGCTTTCAGCCTTAAGGCGGCGATATTCTCCTCGTGTCGCACCTGAATGCGGAAACAACTTGGAGCACAGAGTGCGCAACTTCTTCTTTAGAGCTAAAAGGACAACGCGTGTTTCAAGCCAAAGACGACGAACAAGAAGCAGGGTCAACACACGATACGCCTCAAACACACGACAGAGAAAAGCTGAGCGAAAAAAAGTTCTCCGCAAAACCGTTGAGTGCTAACTAACGCTTAGCGGCCCCTGAACGAATGCGGATAAAAGCTCACCCACGAATCTTTGATTGCAGTATGTTTGGATGCCATATACGTATCTGTTTATTCTACGGATCTCAATTAGCCCCCAAAAAATAGAGTGGCGCCACCTGGTAGCTCCTCCTCGTGACGTAGGAGCAATGACCACGTGACCACTTCTGCGCTTCCTTGGTAGCATGTTGGTTGAGGTCTATCGTTCGCAATTTATGCTTAATTCGCTATTTTTAACGAGAGCTGAGGGTTCCGTTTGACCTAATACTTTGTTGTACTCCTCCTCAAAAATTAAAATCAAGCAGAGCGACAACAGTGGCGACGAGGCTTACGAAACAGCACCCTTTGACCCAGTCTAGTGTCCTGACCATGAGCTAGTTCGTCGTGGTCGCAACTTCGGAGGCTTGTCAAGTGACCCGAAATGTAGACTCTGGGAGGGCATGGTTCCCGGGCGAGTTTTCTTTTTGTCCAGCCTGAAGAAAATAGACAGAGCAAAGAGAAATCAGTCGGGACGACGGCCGTGTAGGCGTCGCACTTGGCATTCCGATCGCCGGTGTTTTGGCGCTTTGCACTGGCGCTTGTGAGGCTGCCGTGGATCGGGAGATCCAATCGAACGTTCAGTCATCACGCACGGGCGGCATCCCCATGGCATTGCCTTCAGCGGTAACTTTTAGGGAGTCGATACTGACGTGACGTTCGGCAAAGGAGGCGATGGTCCGGTATCGCGTAACAAGCGTAGCTACCAAGACATGTACAACTAACTGAATCTGTGCTTACGTCTGTACAAGTGTCACCTCTGAATAAACAATACCTACACAGAATGAAATGTACATATTAAATGATCCGACGGTGATTTCGACCGTGTTTATTTGAGTTGTACGCCAAAAAAGTAGCAAATCGAATCGACGAGTGTGTCGCTGCGACGAGAGCGTTCGTAACCTCCGCACAACACTTCGAAATTAACGAAGGGACAACGAAGAAATGACTCACTTTTTATCCGGAAATTCAAAGTCAAGCTTCAAGCTCTT